TATGATTTCATACTACGATAATGCTAAGCCCGATAAAATAAATTTCATTTGTGCATGAAGCTGCTAAACAGAGGCTGGATTACTGTAGTAATTTTCGAGAGATGGGAATTGTGCAGTCTATGTTGAAGTATCATTGTCAAAATATCTACTAGGATTGCTTTTAGTTAACGGCAAATCCCAAACAAAGTAATTAATCTCTGTAGTGTTATCAGACACGACGAGAACGAATCCAATGAGAATCAGTAGTGTCTCTCTTTGCGTTATATTTGTACTGGAAATAAACAAATACAAATTAAAACTACAGTGTTACTCAGATCCTTCTATACTAATGTTTCACAACCAGTGGTTCGCGACTTAGTTCATGTAGGTCCGCCATTACATCATCTGATTCGAATGTCTTATAAATAATGATAATGATATTCTGCATTATGAATCGATGTAACAAAATCAATGAGAAGGAAATGGAGGGACATGTCTTATGCTCGGCTACTCGAGAGAAAACGTAAAAATTTGGTCTCTGAAGCTGAAGGGAAGAGACTATGTACACATGAATAATATTAACAAATTAACCTCCTTCAGACTATAACGCCTCGTAGAAGTAAATACGGCGTATTTTTAAACTACTGGAATAGCCATTACGTAATTAAACTAAATCCAAGGAGCAAGTTGCTTCCTGACAAGCTGATGGTTTTTCAGATAGTCAAGAAATTTACTGCTCTTTATGCAACTCGAAGGTCCATTACTGTGTTCTGATGAACCACCACAAGTATATTTTATGTAAAAGAAAGTAATTTCATGGCGAGGAAATTAAAAACCCCAACTGCACTTATAGACAGACGGAGAAGGTGTAAGGGATATTACCCACAAGACACCCGGGCCAAGGGTGAATTTTGCTGCAATAAAGAAGCTGACTCTCTTATCCCATGAGCTACCAGGCCCTAGTCTCTGTTTCTGGTGTATTCCTGTATGCAACTGTATATGTTTTGTTAAGTTCTTTATAAGAAGAAAATACTCGATATGAAATTTCTTTATTACTTAATCCCATTTATAAAAGCCAAGTATTTTTTAAAATGAGATAACTGTTTCTTTCTCTGAAATAATTTATTTTCCGCGGCAGTTCCTTAAGGCTAATTTATGTATTTAATTTCTCATTTTACTGAATAAAGCTGAAGGTAATTGCGTTTGTAGATGCAATTAACATTGTGGATTGTCTTATTTTGACTCTGTATTTCCGTCATTTATATCCCATTCTTCAAGCGGAATAAATACAAGTGAAGTAAAGAAGGTCTTAAAAACTAATGAAGTGCCAATGGTTTTTCATATATGAACATCATATTTTCTATTGATACAACTATGCAAGCCTGGTCTTAGAATGTATATTCTCAAATTTATTTGAATAATCAGATTCAGAGAGTTTAATCAAGTCAAATTCTCCTCCTTCAGCCTTCAGGAAATACATGTTCGACCTTCGATTAACAGTCACTTTTGAAATTGTCAGCTCATGTACGTCGTGAGAAAACTGCATAATGTTAAGTTTCTCATGAGCATGTTCCAATTTAGACAGCGTTGAAATTAATTTCATTCTACATGCCTATTCATTTCAGAATGATGTATTAAAGTATGTTATTTTCAGTACTATGATTTTTAATATAACTGCATCTTATAACTTGTTAATTACAAATTTTAGCCTCGATATTTCTTTGTCTTTCATTATAAAGAAGTTTGTCGTGCCATGAGATGAGCTGAGTCGTTGTATGTTGCTCTCTTTCATCCTCAGAATCACTTAGAATAACATTTCCATACAGGAGAGCGGGCACAATTCATTTCTAAGAACTTTTCTCTGCAGTCACGTTTCTTATTTCTGACCCCGAATGAAATGTTTGTGAATAAATAAACTCAGTGTCTAATTAGTTTCAAAAATGAAAATTCTCCTATTACTTCATATGAGAAACAGCGCTTGTTATAATTTCCATTCATTATCTGTCTGTTTCACCTTAATTTATATAATAAGCAGTAAAATTGACCTATATTTCGAGGATAGGAACATTGCATTCACTATTCAACACATCCCATATAGTTTCGTGGAAGACCTTGAAAAATAAATAAAATGTTATAATAATGTATAATATATCTTTTCGTTTGAAAAGGTAGTTATTTATTTTACGATCTGCAATTAATTAAACAGTCTAGTTTACATTTTATGGCGAAAATAAAATACATTTTTGTGTAGTAGTTTTATAATAATACCGTTTTAAATTAATCCTCTCGTTCATCTCAGCTCATTTGCATTTCTCTTGTAATGAATTTGCACGTTGTAAATTCGCGAAAAGCCAGATACTCACGCGGACTTCTTTGCCTCTACATAAGTGGGTATGAACAAGAGATATTCGAATATATTTAGGATAAAATGACCATTGTCTTTTCTTTAAGTTAGCGTGTGTCTGTCTGTCTGTCTCTTTCCCGTGTCGATAAAACTACGAAAATTTTAAAATAGTCGCTCACCACCTGGGATTTGAACTAAGTACCTTTCCAATACAAAATATTAAACCTACATATTCGGTTACTGCATGCCGTTATATTTATTCAAATAAATACAAATGATAGGGATAAACATTTATTTTTATTTGTATATTTCCCTTTTAGTTTGTCCATTGGAGGTAATTCAGTTTTATCTGTTGGTACTCCTCTGCCTGTATCTCTGTCTGCGTCTCTACAAATTGAAGTCACTCCAGTAAAGTGTACCATATTACATGTGATTGATTGGAACGATTTTCAGATAATGTGAGCGAGAGGTGGTTTTGATGTTTGGAATATCAGTATCATTCATATCGGTTCAATCATAATAACTTGATTATAAACGTTAGTGCGATGTGATTCAAGCCGACGGCCTGCTGTGTACAAGGATTATCACGCACATTACCAGATTCATCAGCGTGTGATAGGCGTCCATGCAAGATCAGAACAAGCTTTTAATAATTTCGTTAAAACGGAACAATTCGCAGTGCACAAACCTTTAACACGATAGGGAAGCCGTATTTACTATCTAATGTAAAGGAAACACTGGTATCCCCCCCCCCTATTATCTCCACCAACCTGAAATGACTACTTACATATCCCAGACGTACTAACTTTATGAATTATTGACCTGAATGTAATAACACCCCTTATTATATTAATATCTGTTTGTATGCCGTAATATGGCATTCTACGCTTCATTTAACAATTACATAAGAGCAGACTGTTTTGGAAACATTTATTGTGAACGCAGTGTATTGTAATCGTGTTAGTGTTACATGGTTGTGCATGCTGTGAACATTTGTGTTGCGTGCCTCGTAATAATCGATCTTGGTTTCAAGCAAAGGCGGTTTAATGTGTGTTAATATAAGAACGCGACATTTCCCTCTAGGAACCCCACTATAGCCATATATTTTATATCTTTAAAAGTTAAAATGGAAGTAAATAAGACTGAGTTATGAATTATACACTTTGTATGATAATGAAGATCACAGGGTACAAAATCATCAGAAAGATACCTTTGTTGTTAAGGTCTTTTCAAACCCTTTAAAACTTTTTCTGCCTAAAAGCACAAATATACGTATGATTTGAGGTTTTCACAACGGTGAGTATGAAGATTTCTGTCTTCTGGGTTGTTGCGCTGTGTAGTCTGGTCGATGTTTACCAACGTTTCAGAGGTCATACTGCCTCCGTTATCAGGGCGATAGAAGATTCTGTCTTCTGGGTTGTTGCGCTCTGTAGTGTGGTCGATGTTAACCAACGTTTCAGAGGTCTTACTGCCTCCGTCATCAGGGCGAGTCATCGACCAGACTACACAGCGCAACAACCCAGAAGACAGAAATCTTCACAAATACACGGTTCAGAACACTGCAGAAGACGGACGAAGAAGAGGGAGAGACGAAGACGATAAGGAGACGAAGATGATAGAGGAAGAGAACTAGAAAGAGGGTAGCAGAAAGAGGCGAAGGTGGAGGGAGGAGAAAATTACTATAAGGAAACATTGTGTCTTTATGTCCTTCTCAGTTATATTTTTTATAGAAAATACACTAATCACTCTATAAAGACAGAGTTCTTCCCGTTGAGTAGAACATTTAGCAACAAAACTGATAATAAGGCTCGTCTTCTCTGCAGACGACCGAGCTGTTTGTGTATAAAGAAGCTCATCACATTGCCTTGTGTAGTCCCGTAGGTCAAACGGAAATGACCACTCGACAGACCTGTGACGACAAAGACGCGCGGCAGTGACGTAGACTGCTCCGAGCCTCTTGGCATGCACATTTGTGGCAAAAAGCAGCACAAGAGGATCGTAAACTACTTCTATAACTGCTCTAATTTAATATCAGAATGCCTTAGCCTGACTTAATTCACTAGGTAATTGGTTAGAATATCGGCCGAGGTCTGCGTATTTTCTTCTCTGCTTCTGCAGCGATAATAAGTTATCCTGTAATATACAAAGATAATTTTCTCTCTTCCACCATAATTTACGACATATTATCATCCTCGTATCACGTGTGACGCTACTTGACAACTGCCTTTGATTCAGCTCTGTTAAGTAGCTTGCGAATAAATAAACAAACAAAACACGTAATCAGCACAAAACATCGGCGTTTGAAGGTTTCTGGCGATGATGCAACACAGGGTAACTGTTTTTATAATTTATTCATCGCCTAGGTGTTATTAATTATTATAGATTTTCTCACGGCGACGAATGTAAGGTGGTCGTCTTTGTGTGTTGTGCCTTGTAGTCTGGTAGATAATGACAGACGTTTCAGAGGAGCTTACCTGCTCTATCGTCAGGGTGCGGTGCATCATCGCAGATGACAGTCATTTTCGGTATTCAAGTTGGCTCCCTTAGTATGTAAATGAACCACCCGTTTTTGGCTTCGCAGATCTGCCATCCTCGATTGCAACTCAAACAAAACAAAATATAAACTTTGTCCAGCTGTTGATTCTGTTGGTTAATTCTGGCACTAAACTGATTTCAGGTTCGAGTAGGGGTACGAGGAAGGGATACAACAAGTTGGCGGGCGAAGAGTCCGACGTGAACAATGCCAACTGCACGGCGCCACAGTGCGTCGTGCAAGAGTCGTCAGGTCCCGGACACGGCCCAGGCCCCGGAGGTCCGGATTCTTCGGACACAGACTCCAACTGCACTGACCTTGAACTGGAGGAGGAAATCTCGGACGACTCCGACTATGGTGAATACATTTGCAGCTACTCTCTATTTGACCTTGTCCATTCTCACTGTTCGGTGCTTCCATTTTATCGACTTTAAATTTCATTTGTAACATTGTAACTCAACCATCACTTTTCATAACGAATTCATAACAAATATTTTGGTTGCTGGTGTATATTTATTTACGTGTTTATAAAATGTTTATACTCTAGTTTTGCTTTTAAATGTACATTAATAAAAGCTGTTTGGAAAGGGGATTTTGCCGATTGCAGACCTACCGTGAGAGAAGCTCTTAACGTAACAACTATAATCGTATTTTGTTAATGAAGATATTCAATGGTTTATCAAATAACGAAGTTCTGATACCCTAAACGATCTATGGATGTTTTTGCTTGTAATTTATGTCTCGAAACTTTAACAGAACGATGATTCCACTGCAGTTCATGGCCCGCATAATCTCAAGATCTTTTATAAATCACCCATTTTTGTCACCATATTATTGTAATTCACGAGCAATTCATCAACAATCTGCTTCCAGCTAATATCAAACAGGCTTAAGTACTAGCGCACTTAGGCAAATTAAAATTTCCTGTCATTATTTCCGTATTTACTTAGTAATAAATTACTTTATACCACATTATAACACATTATAAACCCCTATAACCGGAGATTTACTGATATTAATTTATGGTTGAATAGTTTAACTGTTGTCTCCAGGGTGATCACGTGGTAACATCTGTGAAAATAAAAAAAAATCTGTAAATTTCGTGAAAGATTGATCAGAGCTACATAAATGCAAGAACGCAGAACTATAAACAAAAAGTAAACTCTCACAACACTGACAAATACCATTAATTTCTATTGTCTTTCTGTTGGAACTAGCTTGGCTGTTCCATGATAAAGCAAATAATAAACTGCTGGACTTCCCGGAGGTTATCAAATGTACGCTTTATGCAAGCGAACAAACTGTAGCGACGTTCCAATTTATCTCACGGGCTAACTATATTTATAGATATCATCTTGTCTGGAAAAAAAACATTTATTGTGTTTTATTCACGGGGCAGTGTTGTCAGAATATAGTTAGTAAATATACGCATTACAATGTTGGAAATGTGTTTTTCATTGTAAGCAACGGAGAAAATTAAATATGAATTGAAAAGGTCTTGTTCACCTATGTGGAGTTACATGCAGACGTAACCCGTTAATACAATCACATAGGGTCATGCAGTGGTGACCGTTAATATTTCATATTCTTCTCATTCGCCTGAATATGTTCGTGACAAAAAGTTGACCGTGGAACCACGGTTCCGGAGAATTTGACGTAAATACGTCTATACGGAAAGGAAGTTTATATATTGGCTTTATTCTAATTATTTCCTTTATACATGTTTTACAATTGAGATAAATTTGATTCAGACATTGCTTAATCAACTTGAATTAGTTACGCTTATGATGGGTCTGTGGTAGCTGAATGTAAGGTAAGGTAAGGTAAGGTAAGGTAATGTAATGTAATGTAATGTAATGTAATGTAATGTAATGTAATGTAATGTAATGTAATGTAATGTAATGTAATGTAATGTAATGTAATGTAATGTAATGTAATGTAATGTAATGTAATGTAATGTAATGTAATGTAATGTAATGTAATGTAATGTAATGTAATGTAATGTAATGTAATGTAATGTAATGTAATGTAATGTAATGTAATGTAATGTAATGTAATGTAATGTAATGATTTAAAGGTAACAACAATGCCGAGTAAACAGATGACGTTTCCTAGGTAACAAAAATGTTTGAATGGTTAACTTGAATTAGTTACGCTTAAGATGGGTCTGTGGTAGATGAATGTAATGTAAAGTAATGTATTTTAATGTAATGTAACGTTTCCTAGGTAACAACAATACTGAGTAAACACGACGTTCTCTAGGTAAACTTGTTACACTTTTTCGTTTTCCTTTTTCGTTCCACTTTTTTGCCGAATGACCCTTCTTTATAGACGTATTTACGTCAAAAAACAGTGCGTTTACTTAGTACCAAAATGTATTTTGTATGAATATTTCGTACCTTACACTGATTCGGTATTTTTTGTTGGGTATTACTATTAAACTCGTATGTCACCGAGTCGCAAACAACATACTGGCTTTTTCACACATGTAAGCCACTGAAAAGCAGTATTTGTTTACTTTGCTTTTTCGTAGGTTATAAAACAGCTAAATAGTCGCATAAACAGCAATTCATTTCTTTCTTTGTGTATCGTTATTTTTTTGTTTTTTGTGTTCCATATGTTTATACTTTCTCTCCACCTGCCTTGCAGAAGGTCTTGCAAGGGAAATCAAGAACTGGAATTAATTTGGCCTCCAAAGCCTAACTGCAGATGCTGTTTCTCTTAAGACAGGTTCAACATTTATTTTTATTTCATTTTATTTGGGTCTGATACAAATCCAAAGCCAAAGTGGAGGCCTAACTAAAACCCTGAAAATACATGACTATTCTTGGTCATTTTGAATAATTCTGTGGACAGTAAGGACAAATGGGGAATAGGTTTTCAGTCAGGCAAGGCGAGATAAGAGGTTACTTGGGAGACCTATGCGTGAATGAGAGAATAACATTGAAGAAACAAGGTGTGAACTGGATTGATTTGGCTTTGAATGGGTCAGTCTTTGTTCTTTTGTGACCATGGTATATTTGTTTAAATACAACGTGTTTGTGACGTAAAGTAACGCTAACAACTTGAAAATGGCTTTCGGTCAGAAGCACTGCACTTTACTCTGTACCTCCAGGATACTGGGGACTGGACACAGACTACAATGTGAATGTGTCTTATTTTATTTTTCAAATCGTTGCACAACTTTACATTCTCCTTGTGATCTGTAATTTTTCTTTCCAGACGAAGCCCTATCATACTGAAAGCTTCTTTGCACGAACATTTATGTTGTTTGAAGATAACCGTCTTCTGGGCTGTAGATCCCTGTAGTCTGGTAGAATTTTAACAAGGTTTCAGTGGTTCTTGCTGCCTCCATCACCAGGGCAACGTAATGGCCATTGCCCTCTGTGACCTCTAAAACGTTGGTAAACTGCTACCAGACTACAAGGCGTTACACCCCAGAAGACAATCCGCTTCAGACTCACAGCCGTAAAAAACTTAGATCCTATTTTTATGTTATTTCTTTGTCAGTAAAAACGGTATCAACTTTGCTTATTTGTGTTTCCATTCAATTCAATCAGCAGTTCCTACGCATTTCTTTGCTTTCTTCGTTATAAATAGAATCCTGACAAATGTAGTATATTACCAATTCTACACTACAGTTATTTTACCATCTCAGTAATAAAACTTCTCGGAACGTAAGTTCACATAATTTTATGCAGTGGTGTGCCGCTTTAAGGGGAAAGTAATTTACAGAGCATATTAGCCGGCGAAAAGAATATCAAGGAAAGACAAAATAGCAAACGAAGTATTTAGAGAATAACTTGGTTTACGGAATTATATTTTGTACCATATATATCCAATAAATGGGCAGACAGCATTTGGCCCAAATACGTGCTCGAGTGGATGCTGGTAGAATGAGGAATGTAGGAAGAACTAGTGTTAGATGGATGAAGGTAATCCATTATACAGTGACAGAGTGAGTAATGGAAGAAGGATAGTGTGTGGATACAGAATAATGATAATTGAAAATCGTAAGATTTCAATGGTGTGAATAACTCGGTACATTAATAATACTCCTCGCTGCTGGGAGTTAAACCAGCGAATGCATTTGTTGCTGTGTGTAGTCTATTTAAAATGAAAACTTCCGTTATTATCTTTCAGAATAGGAATAGTGTTACCATGGCAGCGAAATATTTATTAAGAAGGAACGTTAATAACGACCTACAAGATCACTCAACACCCTGATGATGCAGACAGCAAGCATTTCTGTGACATCAATAAACTTGTGCCTGACTACAAGGCTCAACAGTCCATTAAGATAAGCCATTTCCAACGTTGAGGGGCGTTTACAATGGCTAATTTTAGCCATTAAGAAGTTCAAAGTATTAAATGTTTTGTGAACAGCACAGGAACTGTTTTCAAGGAATACGAAGAGGATTATCGAGGCTGGAGGAATTTGCATTATTTGGGGGAAATATTAACTTTACCAACAATCTGATATATGCCCTTGACTGCTGTTGCGGCAATCCAAAGAGATAAAAAAGCAGTATTACATGTTCCATTGTGTTCTAACAGTGACGGCGACCATGTAACAGTCCGTACCTATATGGCGCCATCCTGATGACGTCATTACACGAGGCGCTTTAATTAATTCGGTGGCTGTGGAAATATCTCGCATAATGAAAAAGCTCTAGGGAGGATTCGAAACTGTAGTGCCAAAGAGCAAGAAACTGACCTCGAAAACAACAATGTTGCTGCCCGCGTATACAACAAAGTATATGAATGCGTGTTGCATTCAGATCAAGGAAGATGCTATAGGCACCTGCATGTACGAGCATGCATGCGGGAAATGAGAAATGCGAACAGATTTTATTCGGGAAATCAGAATACAAGGAACCAGTTAGAAGACAGGTGTAAAACGGGAGATAATATTAAAATTTATCTTAAAGAAATAGATTGCGAAGTTGTGCTTTTTAAACAGTTGCCTAAAAGCCTTTCATATACGACAAACACCAGGTTTCTGCGGATCTCCGCCAAATATAATTATATCTAATATAAGCTTTACTCCTGTATCTAAAACCCCACATTTGCCCTCCCTATTCCAAGTCATATCTTGCTGATTTTATTGTTTTACTCACATTTACCTTTATATAAACATTCTTCCAAAATTCATAAATCTACACCGTTACTGCATGTTGTCATTTCCTTATTAGGTACTTCATCGTCTGTAATAAACTATTTTCTATCATTCCTCGTCGCAAAATCTTTTTTCTTTTACAATATGTTAAAATAAAATGTCGGTGGTTTATTAACGATAAGTAAGAATTGTCTAAGCCACGCTGAAAATGGAACGGTGGGAAAATGAGTTGCTGAAA